GGGAATATCAGTGTTACCTAGCACTCAAAGTTTTGAAGATATACTGAAATAACTACATTCAAAAGTATTCACAGGTATATAAACGAACAAAAGTTTAGAACAACTGTATTTTTAAGTTCTCTTCTCGATAGCATCAGCTAGTAAGCATCTGAAAACTACTTGTGCAGCTGGAAGAATTCTTAATAGTTTATCAAAGCTTCTAGGATGAAGCTTTGCAAAAAAAATTGTAGTTTATGAGCAAATGATTCTGAGCAAAATGAGAAGTCTTCAAACTCTTCATGGCCTTTCTTCATTGAATTTCATTCAATTTATAGAAGGTCCTGGAGCGTCAAACATGGCAACAGCATATCGACATTTTCAATACAAAGAAGAAAAAATGCTCCTTGGGGCTTCTGCAAATTGAATGCAGTTCGATGAAAGAAAATCATTGACAGATTGGGGACGTCTCGTTTGGCTCAGAATTATTTGTTCTATCAAATAAAATCTTTTCCCATAAGTTTTAAATAAAAATCAGAAAGCTGATTTCGAGGAAACGTTTGTTTTGCACTATCTTGATAAATATTTTTATCGAGAAGAAAACTTGAACACACAACTACTCTAAACTTATATCTGTTGCTATAAGTCTTTCATTTATTCGAGGTTTTGTTCTCATTGTGTCTTATTTGTTATCTATTTATTTCAGTATTTTCTTGCCTTTGTTACATACATAGTTTATGATATCATTTCATTTATGTAAAAGGATAGATTGATTTATTATACCTGTGCTAATTCAACAGAACTTGGATCTTGTATAAATTCATTTGAATATTGCACTAATTGTTGAAGTGCATGAATATATTTCGGACTATTTCTACCACAATATTTCCTATCATAAACAGAAAAAAAAATAGAATATAAATCTACATTAAGTTTGATGAATAAAACTTTACGCAGCATATTGTACAGTCATAAGAGCTGTTGCTTGTGCTTTATTCATAATCCATTTTGATGTTAAGCCATGTGTAAGTGAACAAAGTAAATCAATAATTAATGAATGATTATTTTTATCAACTAATTTAAGACCTCTATTTATCAATGACAAATATTAATCAATAATAAAATATCAATAAAGAAAAAGTTACTTATAACTATATTGTATACAAGCATCAAAATTTGCATCTTCGTAAGCTGTTTGAGATATTACAGAATAAAACCAAGCATATTCATTATTAGGAATTTCTGTTATAAAAAAAAACGATATTAATTTCGACTGGAAAATAAATTTTATGTCTTTTTCGATTACCTATTCCAGTTGTTTTAAGAGTATCAGCAATTTCATTAGCTGCTTCAATTCTTGCCCATGCTTGTTGTATTTGAAAACTTTGATTATGTGTTTGTACAAGTGCACAACATCCACGAAATAAATATGTCCAAATAATAGATTTTTGATTATGTTGTTTAACTAATTTTGTTAATGATTGTACAATAGATTCAATTATTTGTTGACATAATTCATATCGTCCATAATTATATAAAAATTGATTTAATAAAAAACCTTTTTCAACAATATTTAATATATTATTTTGTGTATTAAGTGAATCTTTTAATGCATAAACAAATTTTTGATCATAATGTATACCATAAATAGATGAAAGTGAAAAGAAATATTTATAAAAATGATGTTGATGTAGTGTATCATCAAGAAGTAAATCAATTATTTCTGTATCAAATATATTTTGATTTGATAAAGATTTTTCTTGTTTTATTAAATTAATTAATAATTCAATACGACACATGTTATCAAAAAATTTTTGTTCAGTATAAAGTTGTTCATGATCATAAGCATTAGTAGAATGCGAGAGTTGATCAAATAAATGTTCAGGAATCTAAACAGGAAAATAAATAAAAGAATAATTTTTCTTTTTACAAAATTTAAAGAAAGATTATATTGTAAACTGACATAGTATCAAAATTGTTTTCTCGTAAATAACATTTTTGTGGATCCAGATCTGAGTTTTTTTTCACCAATTTCCGGAACTCTCTGTGTACACGAATAAGTGAAGGATCAATGTTTTGCCTATTTATTCGCTATTCTTAGGTAATTGAACAGAGCATTATGTTAACAAAAAAGAAAGTTAAATAATAGTAATATCAAAACCTGTACCTGCATGAAATAGCTTTAGTTGTATTTAGATAAACTAGATCAAACAGGAATATGTTCTAAGTAATCGATGTAAGAAGCTATGGATCCACGTTTTGTTGGTCTTAACTTGGACTCTGCTGAGCTCCAGCCATCTTCTGAGACAGACATTTAAGCAAAGAGTGATCAAAGACCGTGACAAATATTGTTGATATACTATTATCAACTATTTATCACAAACGTCTCATTATAATATATGAATTACTTCATTTTTGCATTTGTGCCTGTGATTAGCAAGAGCAACTACATTGTATTTCACATTTTAATCACGCAAGAATTGTGCTAACAGTTTTTATCAATTATATTGGGAAAAAATGAAGCTTTGTGAAGATGAAAAGCTTTACATGTGTATAGATACGGCGTGCCATTCGATTTACTTCTAATAGCAATTCTGAATTACTGAATATATTAATAATTAATAAATCTAATCGAAATAATGGCTTTCAAAGAAAACAAAATGTTTTATTTCTCAGCTAGTATGTTTTTAGTTGGGCTTTTTTGACAATATTAATTTAAATTTATGTTATGAGAGAAGGAAAAAAATTTGTTTTTTTTTTTCTTGATAAAATAATCGTAATTTAAAACATACTTGTGAATGATAAGTAAGATTGTCGATAACTTTTTGAAAACTACCTTCAATTACAACTTTATTCATAACATATCGATCGAATTCAATATTTTTTATATGATGTTGGTAATTATTGATTGTAGTTAAATTTTTCTTTGGTTCATTATTTTGTTGTTGTTGAGTTTTCTGAATTGAATCTTGATTAATACCATCTTGATGTTCATTTACTTGACTAACATTTGATCTATTTGTAAATAAGTATGATTTAGAATGCGTCAAATTTGGTGCTCGAATTATTGTATTATCAAGTGCAGTTACAAGATCATTATAGACAGATTGATTTTCTAGAAGAATACTGCGAAATAATAAAAACCAGTTAGCTGGACGGTTAGCATGGTCAGGATGTTTTTTAAGAAGACAATCAATTAAACGACGTGCACGATCAATTCTTGATGTACCTTGATTAATATATTGTACATCATGATCAGGAGAAATAATATGAGCACGAATAAGTTTAGGTATGAGTTCTTGAGTATCAATTTGTTGAATTAATGCTATACGATTGACACGTAGACGGGTTGCATTAGCATTGTCCCGATCCATTTTTTTCAGGTATGTGAAGGTGTGCACACACGTACCTTTTTTTCTCTTTTGACGACGTGTGAAAATTTTTATGTTATTTCATGGCAGTGGTGGCGGTAGCTAATAGCTGTGATGACAATGCAGGAAAGTGAAAAGAGACTTCCTTTGTTTTGAAGAAAAATACCTGTTCGATGTCGTTCATGTTTTCTTTTAAGTTCTCAATTACATATAATGGAAAAAATGTCAGATAAAGAACGAAGAGAGAAAAAAAAGAGTAACAAAGCTTATTTTATTTGTTGCGCTTGTTAAATAATTTGTATGGCAAGTTAAAAAGAAAATGAAAATAGTTAACAAAATATTGCAGAAGTTATTGACCAACGATTAATTTGATTATCTCGACTCTGTTTGAACTAAACTAGTTGAAATCGTTTTTTTCTGGTGATGAAAGAAGTTTGCAAGTTATGTTCAAAGATAACTCTAAGAAAGAGTTTTATGTGGATCAAATTCCATACAAAAATTCGATAAGACGATTTTATTGAAATGTAGAGTGCGATCGTGTAGAACAGTTGAGTTGGAGTTTAACGGACTTTTCAAACGCTGAGTTTTCTTGACTCGAAGTCTCTTTATATGTCTGGAAGTTTTCCAAACTTTTTAGTGGTTCGATCTTACAGAAGTTAATTCAATATCTCAAATAATACTCAAGAAGGACGCAAAGCCTTTGGAAATTGTTCAAGTCAAGTATTCTTCTACTACCAAGTAAGCTATGAATTCAAGTATTTCAGTCAAGGTTGATCGCTTCAATTGTTATGTGTGAGTTTCTCTGATAACTAGTGTCCTGTGTGGGCATGAATTTTCGCAACCGGACTCCCTGAAGTTGACCAACATCAGGCAGATACTTTCACAACTGCAGTACAGTTTTCAAATTTTTATTTTATATAAAAAAGTGTACTATTTAGTTTTTTTTATATATAGAAACAACAAAAAAGAGATCATCTCAAATTCTACAAAAAGTAAGCGAATGATTTAGTGTCTTCATCCTTCTTAAATCTGATCAGTTTCGTTAAGTTTATGTTTGCTGGCCGCTGATGACGCTGGCACTAAAAGTAGTGTTTTGCTGCTAAACATCTTATTGATGGATACATATATGAATTCATTGTCCATTACACTAATACACATTCACTTTTTCTCCATTAAAAACGTGTTCTTTTAGTAAAACAATTTCGTTTTTCATTTATGTGATCTGTTCTCAAGTAGAATCAATTACTCAATCACGATCGAAACGGTTTTCATTCCGATGCTTTTATATAAATAAGCAGTTTGAAATAGTAAAAATATTTCGTAACCTTGAGATCTCATTAATTGTTGAGTCGGGTTCAGCTATGAGAAGATACCTGGCAAGTTTGCATTCGTTTCAGTTTCAGGACACTACTCATAATAATACAAACTTGAAAATCTGTTCGATCGCCAGATATAAATTTAGCGTTTTCCTTTTTCATTAAACTTCTCGATTTCTTTGTTTAATGTCAACAGACATTCTACAAAATACGGTTGCAATAGAAATCTAGAAGTAGTTCGAAAATTATAGAAGATATTTTATTTTCAATTGATTTTCCATTTAGGTATTCTTACTAGTTTAGGTCGACGAAAAATGACATGAATAAAAGCTAACTGTTAGCAAGAATGGAGAATTTCTTTCCAAAATCCATCAACAGCATAAAACCTAAAATCTACAGAACCTCTTGACATTAGATGAGTATTATGACCATATGAAATATCAGTCATACGTTCTATTTTAACTTGTTTATCAATTTCAAGCATAGCTGAATGAACACATCCATCGCCAATATATTCGCGAAGCATTAAATTATCTCGAATCAATTCATGAACAAAACTTTGAACTCGTTTGGATTCATAATACCATTTCAAACGAATAACAAAGAAATTATTATAAATACAACCACGTTGAAGGCTATTTTTATTGAGAAAACGTTGCAGGATTGGATGCATCAAGTCGAATGATTCCTCATATGAAGATCTATAAATATAATCTATTTTTTTACTATCCATATAAACAAAAATATCCTTTTCGATTATGTACATAAAGTATGAGTCATCATCCATTCTCATTAGATAATCATAATTGCCTTGAATAATTGCTGGATGATAAAAGACATCATATGTCCAAAATTGACACATTAAACGATATCCCATTGGTCTCTTCAATCTAGACTCATTAGATGGTTGTATTGATGTTTGAAAATTAGCTAGTGCAAATGAAATGTTTATTTTTATATTGTTTTGAAGTACACAAGATAATATTTGTTGACGCATGTCTGAAGTAAAATTTTCATCATGAAATATAATAAATGGATATAGAGAACCATTCTTTGTTAGATAAAAGTGAATAACAGAATGTATCATATTAATTGTAAGAAATATGGATTGATTTGTACTACGAATCATAGTCACAATTACTCCTCGAACATGACTATTGGAGGAGACATTAGTAATAGGAACTTCAGATTATTCATAACAAAAAGTAACAAAAAACTAGAAAAATAATACTGAACGAAATAATTAATAAAACTATTGTCAAATATCGATGTATTCGACGAGTCATAAATATTTCTGTTTATTGAATAAAAAATAAATTTCGTGTTTATTCTTGTATCAGAATTTCATTCTAAAACTAATCGAAGATATATATTCTTCTTGAACAATCCCTCACTGTAATCCATTAAATAATTGTGCTAAATCTAAAGTATATTGCTTTAATAGATCATCGATAAACAAGTTAGAATGTTAGTTATAATCATTTGATATTAGGTGATTTTATATGAAGTGTACTTCTGATAATAAATCAAAGAAAACAAAACAGACAAGTGCAGATGCTTGTTATAAACTCATAAATGTCGTATAAAAGAATATCGCTTATTTCAAGTTATCAATTTGGAGTTAATAGACGAAGAAAAAGATCTGTTGATTTGCGAAAGAAAAGCGAATAGATTGAATACTGTGTCTTCTTGATAGAGGAAATTTTTATTTTATTAAATGGAGAAAAGTGTCTACAAAGTAGAATCGAGGTGGAAGAGATGTCGAATGGCCCCATTGTAGAAACATGCTAAAGTAGATATAGCAAGAGGATCAGTGTGTAGGTATCTTGATTTAAGAGAAATGAATACAGCATTTTGAAATATTATTGAGGAAATTCATAATGTACACCATAATATTGTAAGGTTTTCCGCTAATTATCAGTTGCTTCTCCCTACGTGTATACGTAAGCCGAAAGATAATTAGTAAATCCTTGATCTGCATCCACCTAGAAATTTCACTTTAGTACGTCTTATCTTTATCTTGATTATTAATAACACAGAGATGCAAGCATAGGTTTAAAATGCGTCAATTTGTTTATTGAAAATATACATATGGTAAGATAATAATCAAGATAATAATGACAATACTGGGCAGAAAAAAGGTATATATCAATGAAGAGAAGATAGGAAAACTAGCAGAGTGGAAAAACAACGTAGGAAAAAAATCTATATACGTATATATATCTCACAAGAGGAACGATGACTATAGATAACATGAAAGACGAAGATAAAAGTCAATGAACGAAGAATAGTGAACATAAAACGTAAGCGGCAACATAGTGTCATCTGTTGACGCTAACACGTTTCCCCTTCGACAGAAAATATTCATCCGGAACTCCTACCAATATGAATGAGTAAGTTGGAAGAAGACTATTTTGATCTAAGATATTGGTGCAAAAACTGAACAACAAATATGAGAGTATGAGAAAAGAGGGATAAAAAACCACAATTCATTGCGTAGCAAAGGAAAGAAAAATTTCAAATCTGTGAATATTAATGGCATGCAAAAGAGAACAAAAGACTCTTATGAAAAAAAATTGGGTGAAAGTATCTTATGAAAATCTATCAGTTAACAATGTGTCATCAGCTGATTTAAGATCAGCAGTATTGTTAAAGTATATACGAATACGATAATGATAACTAGAATGTAAACGAGTATATTTAAGTAGGGTTTTTTGACAAAAACTTTTATAATTTTTCAAGATCCATAATGGGCTTACTGTTCAAGAAATAAACAACCGTTTCTGCCGCAGAAGTATATTGTCATGCCGTCGTTTGTTTCGATGTTTTCGAACTGCAAGTGATCGATTATTAGATGTAGGTAATTTTAGTATTTTTGGAGATATTAAATGATTAAAATAATTAATAATAGAGTTATTAATAAAATCACGATATTGATGATCAACATGTATGTAGTCCGAACTTCAGTAGTGATTCATTATTTGAAAATTAATTACACTAAATTCAATATACTTTGATAAATCAAATAGACTTTCGATCATTTTTCTGCTAATTTAGAACAAACTACATTGGAGCCGTTCTCCAAAAGCTTTCCAAGTTTTACAACTATTATCAAGACCACATGACTAAAGATTCTAGGTCATCGACTTGTCAAAGACCTGATTAAATAAATATTCTTTGACCTTTTGTAAGATCCATTTAGGATTATTAATTTTGTACCGATGAGTACTGCTCGAACATATACAACGATGATGATCATTTTTGAGCTTTGACCATTGAATATCATTATTAAGATCATCTGAATCTACATAACTAATTAAATAATCTTTAAATGCTAAACTAGGTGACTTTGATGAATTATAATAAAGACAGAGATGGGTATGAAGATGTTCTTCATTTCATTGATTTCTAAAATATTGTTTATGGTTAAAGGTGTTGGTAATTTTAGAAAGATCGAAGTTCTTCGACTATCTCTCACCAGTCCATGATCATGTTATCAGGATAAAATATAAGATTACACAACTGTTGAATCGATTTAAATAATGATGTAGAATGATGAGGTAGAAATTAAAGTTATATTAAGTATTGCTTGTATTTTGAATAAGCGATGATAAACCTTTAGGATGGTTTTTGTTGGCCTACCTGATACAGTATCAACTACATAGAACTTAATATCGACAAATTTTTGTATAAGAGATGTAATAACTGACTCGGGAGTATAATAATGTCTATGTATTTGTATCATAATACTGGATAGGCCAATGAGAAAATGGTCGACTGAATATTAATTACTGATTTAATTGAGCCTTTCTTCTCGCTTTCAGCTAGTTAGTTCTTTAGCATCTACCAGGTGACTTTGACATGTTTTTTCATTAAGATTTAGAAAACTTTGATGAGGATTAGATTGTGGTTGATTGCATGAATAATATGAATTTTTACTTATAGTTCGTTCACTTTTGAAACTGCTGTCTTTCAGTAAAACTGGAGGCTACAAAAGTGAACCTGATGAAGTATTTGATTGATGTATAGATTGTTGAGTATGAATAAATGCAAGCAATATTGATGGAGGAAAACGGACATCTCTTTCATTCAAGAACTGTTACCTTCTAGTAGAACTGGAGACTGCAAGAGTAAATTCGATGAGATGGTAAATTATGATGATGAAGAATGAAAATAATGTGATGTAGAAGGACGAGAAAAATTATACATGTATAAATGAAGATATTTTATGCATAAGAGTTATGGTAAAATAACTTAATATGTTAGCTGTTGAAATGCAAAAAAAAAATTGTTAATATTAAATCATTCTATTCTATTCATTGTTTCTTTCAGCACTTAATCTTGTTATGGTTTCCTGTTAGACTGGTAATGTATTTCTACAGCACTATAGCAACACATTATTACGATAAAAAAAATTCGTATTTCATCAACAGACCTTTGATCTCAGTCAGAATAATCATTAGTAGTTTCTATTATATCCTAAACTTTAATGGTAGTTAAAATTGAGAAATGATGATAGTTATGACTAATGTGTTGCTGTTGATATGGTTACAATAAATTAATGAAGTTATGTAGTTTATCATAACAACAGCAATAAAGATTCTAATCAATAATTACAGGCCACAAGTCACTAACATTTACTTGGGACTCTATTTTTGTTTCTTGATCTTGAACCATATAAATAGGATGGTAAGCATTAATGATAACTCTAGGTGGTGACCAGAATAAAGGATTTAATTTTTCTTTAATACTATAGATTTTCGTTAAGACTTTATCAGGAACATTATAATGTGCATCTTAACGGTGTTTATCATAATATATTTTATCCTTCGTTTATTGTAGTATTATGTTGTTTTTTTGCGTATTCACGGTAAATTTTCAATGTTTTCTTTCATTGTTGAAAATAATTATTCGGTTTCATAAATGAATAATAGGATAGTTTTGCGTGACAAGGAAGATCAGGTAGACGTCCATAAAGTAATTCATACGGTGAATATTTTGTTGTTTTATGAACCTCGGAATTATAAGCAAAGACCACCGCTTGTAGATATTCATTCCAATTATTATTTTCGGAATCTTGTAATTTGAATATTTTGGAGAATAAAGGTACTATTAAATCTTTCCTCAATACCATTTGTTTGTGGATGATACAGCGTACTATAAATATGATTATATTCAATCAATAAACACATGTTTTCCATAAGTTAATTATTAAAGTGTGGTCTTTGGTCACTTATAGTTAAAGTAGGAATCCTATATTTACAAAAAGAATTCATTAAATAAAGCTTCAGGTATTGTTCTTGCTGTACAGTTTGGTAAGGCTATAGCTGTTATGTATCGGGTGAAGTAACCACTTATTATTAAAACATATTGGTTTTCACGCGGTGTCTTTTAAGAGGACTACAATAATGTACGCCTATAATTTGGAAAGGACCATCAGGTATTGGAATTGAACGAATTTGACCATACTTTTTCTGTCGGCTGATAATATATTGCTGATATAAAAGACCAGATTTAATATATTGTTTAATAGAATATTTCATGCTTGGCCACTAATCATGACATTTTAGTTCATGCGCAGTGCGGTCGATAGAAGAAATATCTCGTGTCATAGGATCATTATGACACACATAAAGAAATGCTTTAAGATGGTATACGAGTATTCGACAGATGATCTGTACTTGTATATTAGAAACTGAATTATTATCATAAGATGTATCATTATAAATAGATTTGGTTGCTGCTCCAAGTACCCTTCTATTTTTTCTTGAGCTTAAAACTATACTTGCTAAAAGCTTACCTGTTGAAGATGTTACTTGTTCAATTTCACGTTTATTATTAAGTCCATAGTATATATCTAATAAATCATTGTCTTGT